ATGGGTCTGCCGTGATATGGGTCTGTCCGTAATATGCAGGTGGTCGATGTAGGTAGCTGTTATATAGAAGTTCGCAATATAGATGTGTTAATAATATAGAGGTGTCCGTGATATCGAGGTGTTTGTAATATAGAGGTGTCCGTGATATCGGAGGTGTTTGTAATGTATCGGTTTCCTTAACATTGAGGTGAAACATATCGAGAAGGTCCACTGGATATATTTACTAAAATGATTAAAGATTCAAATAGCTAGTACTTGTATTTTTTGTTTGGTTCAGTTTTGAATCGTGGGCTTCGCTGCATAGAATGACAATTTCATTAAGCTACACAAAATATCGGTACATCAAATATCGGTACATGAAATATCGTACTCGTACGAAGTCCATACAAGGGGTTTTTKGATTTAGTCTTTCACGATGGGCGTTGTAGAGTCGTGGACCCTGAGCCCAGATTATCAGAGAAACAGCAAAACAATATCCGGMCTTGTGATAAATGTCACTAATATTGCTGATCAACCACATTAAAAACAATAAATCAAAACAAATAAATAAATAATTTATATTTATACAGAATAGCCACTTMACTTTGATTATTTTTCTTGTATCAAACTTTCTGGTTGCAAATTTTGGGACAAAAGACATTACCTTATTAGGTCAATACCGATCAAATGAAACAAAACATTTCCAGACAGCGGGAGTTGCTTTGCCAACTTAATTCTATTCACTTGTATATATCAACAATACTCAAAACTCGACAAGTAAAGCCATGTTTTTTCTGGCAAATAGTTCTAAAACATTTATTGTCTRGACCTGTCTTCAGTATTCTATTGTTTCATAAGTGGGTATTTAATRCTATCAMATGTGTCATGATTATTGAGAGTGTTTTCTAGATTGTCTGTTGCAGCAAATAACCTACTGCCGTCTTATCTTCTTTCAGAATTTTTATTCAGTAYTGTTTAGCGTTATCATCAATGTTTGTTTTCATGTTTTATAACTAAGATAACATGGTTGCGAAATGTGGAAAATSAAAAATAYARACTGGCGTATATACTATTAATAACATATCCTGCMTCCATCTCACGATATTGACTTCCTAATTTCAAGTACAGTAGTGAATATTCTTGAGATTTAGCGGTGTTTTATCAGTGATTCTAGCGGCTATAGTAGCAGGAGATGCAGTCGATTCACGCTGATTTGTAGCAATGTACAAACTATTCTCGCCTATTTAATTAATGATACTGTCAACATACCCGGCAATCATTGATTATTAATCATCATTTATCATTTATGATTACATGTGTAATCATTGTCATCATAAATTTTCTTATCTTTGGTAAACATTTCATATACACGCAATGACTTTCTCAGTCATATTTTRCCTTGTAAAGGTTAATGCAATATTTCAGATTACGCAAGTTACAAAAATGCACAAGTCGTACCGTTGTACTTTTGTTTCGAGACGGTTTCCATGCATGTATTTGCTTGCATAAGAGTTATGCAACACTGCTGTGATTTCAATTTAATTCCTACAAGTCTTAAGCTATTTGTTATAAATAGAAGCCGTTGTTTGCATACCTGACTTGCCGACTCCTGGTTCTCCAAAAACAATGATCTTCAGTGGCAGTTCGTTAGGATCCTTCATTATCCAGCACTCAGCTTGGCGAGATCAATCTCCGATAGATCCCAATCAGAAAGAAAAATGATTTTCAAGTCTTCTAGCTTCCAATATATATAAATATTTAATATGAAGATAAACTAAAAGAACACTCCTAGTTAACACATCCTCAAACGATTGCTTTCAAAAKCTCGTTGGTGAAATGTCGAGTGTTCTCAATGGTTGTCGCCTTGCCAAATGTTGGTCTTGATAGTGAGAAGCAACAAGGAGATGTCACTAATGATGCCTCCTAGTTCTACCTTGTATATACCACAATTAACAATTATAAAGTCATTCTTTGTGGACAGTCTGCTCTTATTTTGCCAAGGTGGTCGAAGGAAGTTGGCAGAAGACGACAAACTTGATCAACAATCATAAAACAGGAAACAGAACGATGAAGATTTGCACGTTCTGTATTCAGTAATAACAACAACACGCGACTGACAGCTATCTTTTATCTGAGCATAGGTTGATGGATTGGATTTCTGTACGCCTAGGTCAAAGGGCTGGGGACTACTCGGGATGTATTTTACAATGCATCTCGTGACTCCGTTGGCGAAGGGGTGTTGGATAATGGATAATCTATATTTAGTACCAAGGATCTGTCAATAGGATCATAYTGGCCAATCAGAAAGAAGCCGTTCAAACTTCCTTGCGGGAGTATCTACAGCTACGTCTTACTTTACTTTACTTTATGTCGGTTACAAAGGAAGCGAGACAGCTACGTCATGCTTACGTAAAATAGGGTCATATTACCGTTCAAAGAAGAAGAAGCCGTTCAAACTTCCTTGCGGGAATATCTACAGCTACGTCTTACTTTACTTTACTTTATGTCGGTTACAAAGGAAGCGAGACAGCTACGTCATGCTTACGTAAAATAGGGTCATATTACGTAAAGTTCACCGGCGGATAGGATACTGTAACAGAATCGTCGCCAGCAGTGAGCAGGAGTCTAACGTAGTTGTTTAGGGACTTCCTACGGAAGTTTTATATTCTTATCGATAGCATCACACCAACGCCCTGGTTAAATTGCGCAGAAAACGAAGTGAAATGAAATAYTAGTGAATGGTATGAAGCTGATCCCAGTAAAGCTAAACTACATCGCTTCAAATACTGCATRAATAAGGACAATCTCATTGGAATTTATCAGCACTCGTTGCGAAAACAATTTTTTTACCGATTGTAACTGAACAAACTTTTACTCGGAAATGAGAAATTCAATAAAGCTTATTCGACTCGGAAATCTCTGTCCCACGCTGTTGACATCCATATCAGTGCTTTGACAACATGCTACTAGGAAATGTGGATTTTGGAGAGTACAGAGGGCGTGGTCCGTCAATGGGCATCGGAACTCAATACCATTTAACATGCTTTATGCGTACAACAACTACATGTTAAAATGTCTTTATCGTAAAGCATGACAGCCTGCATAATTACCGCTAGTCATAGACGATTGAGGGCTCAGAACATTTATGACACACCGTAGAAAGGTCATTCAGACTTACTGAAATATCACAGTACTGATTAATTCAATACAGCTGTTTCATTGAAAACTCACGATGGCTCACACTGTCCAGACTAGATATCTCTTCCTAGTTTGATCTGTACTTTAACCGTTCAAGCAYATTAAGAGTGAGCAGTAATAGCCCTTCTTGACTCGCGACGACTGCACATGCGCATGTAAGATTTATCAGAGAACCTTCTTTCACTGCTGGTCATGGAGCGGGTCAAAAGGAAACTAGGACTGAATCTCAAAGTTGTAAGTTATTTTTTTGGATGGAAAGATGATGACTGTGTATTTAACCTGTGAGACCACACATCTTGATGTACCATTAACAGAAGATAGTGATCCGCGAGGGATTGGTACGAGTTTATGACCATATTTAGACATCATATCGCTGTAAATGCTGTTTTTATAATTTTAATCGTCTGTGAAATTAATTACCACTTCTAAGATTAAATTCTTAGTTCATTTCCTCAACTTATAAAAGACTAGCTCAATTAGACTGTCTGGTTGTGGAAAGTTCTTTGTTTCCTGTTAATTACTTCTCGTTTGCAGTTAAGACTCCTTTACAGCAACGAACGGATTAGTTTAATTCTTTGATTGCTCATTCTTCTTACTTTATTAGTTAGGCAAATAATATCTATTGACTTTATAGCCTTCTGAATAACTTAGTTGGCTTGGTTTCTGTCTGAATTCATATTCTTTCCAGTTTGCGGTCTTTTTGATCAGGATCTGTCCTTGTTTGACATTAAAGGGTTTCTTTTTCGCACTTAAATGGTTTCTTTTCGTTTTATTGCTGCATTAAAATGGTTGYCCTTGCAATTAAATGGTTTCCAAGCTGGCAAAGAATTCTATTTGTTCCTGGATTCTTTGTTCCTTCCAACTATGGAATGATCACGAGCCAACWATGTTAACAAGGAAGAAAAATAGTTACTGTGAAGATTGAATGGAAATGTATACAATATGACAGCAGGATTGACCTCTTGGGGTAGGAGTACTTTACTCGTGATTTTACGTCCATTCAACTGTTTGTTTAATGCTTGAATAGTATTGAGGTCATTGTACAGTATCTAACATCATTTGTAAGTAATCATTTGGAGTGGTCAGAAGGCATGAAAGCATTTGTTAGTCTGGAGATGTGATTTTTTTGAACGAATCTGAATCACGCAAACTTGATCTTCCTTCTTGAGTAAACTGTAAGTACTGTAGATAAATGATTTCATATTCATATTTCAAATGGAATCCTTCGTTTTGTTATTATTATGAACCTTTAAGGTCTATTTTAAATCCAAAATAGATCTTATAACTGAATATTGTTAATATTAATATTTTGATAACTATGAAAACATACTCGCCTKRRGAGTACGTTCTAGAAAGGTTTCCATTTGATTGGCAGGACAAGTTCACTAAAAATATGTCTTGTAGTTTGMCAAAAGATTTGCCAGATTATTTCGTGATTACTTTGTTATTTCTATTCTTTTTTTCTCGAATTAACTCTCACTTTCTGAGTTATAGCATTTTAGTATAGCTCATTGTATCGAGGAGTCAGTAGATCGTACTGATTTGTTTCTCCATTCAAGACGAAATTGTTGTGATTTAGTAGAACCCATCATAAGGCGCAAACGGATGGCTCCATGACACTTCACTCCGYCACAAGTGTAGCCCTGTTGGCATTTGTTTTGTCTACTTGTATAGTGTGARCGTGGTAATTGAACTACATCTCTTTACAAACTAAATAAAAGTTGACGAGCCTRGTCACGTATAYTCACTTGSATTAGAAAAAGTGTTTATCGACAATTTTCACTGCGAGGTGAACTAATAAACCAATGGATGTGGTTTCTATTGTAGTGTATTTTGGTCCATGTTATAAACTTCTCTAATGTTGTTAAAATAACGCGATATACTAAAATCCGACGATGCTGACTTTAATCCATCGTAGTCAGGCCTCTGAATGCACAGCAGCAAGAACTTAGTATCACTGTACTACTGGGCTGAATTTTTAGCCACCTCAAAAAAAACGGATCGTAAAGAAGAAAAACACTTCACAACAAAGAATGGTTCTCAGTATAACGGTATTGAGATATATAAAAAATGTATTGTTAACATGGGGTTTCATAACTGTTGTCTGAAATAATATTATGCTTCAGCGTTAGTTGCTTTGACAGTAACAACCCCTCTAGACCACCTTGTACTTAGGCTTCTCCTGCAGCGACACTCGATCCCAGACTCTTCTCTCGCTCTGGCATAACGCTTGTGTTGCATCAAGGGACATGAGCCTTTTCTCGAGCAACAACGAGTAAGGACTGGATACTAATCTTGGTCACTCCTTCATTTTGTAGAACGTCTTCTTTTTGCTAAAGTCTTGATGTGAATTTCTTGTCATTGTAGACTCTAGCGTARTTSCTTTTCATCAAAACGACTCAATACACAGCTCGTTAAACATACACGTGTAGCAAGTTATAATAATAGGACAAYCAGGTTACTGTTTCCTTTTGCAATATTCAAAAACACATGATATGTACAAACTTAAGTTCGATTTGTTTGTGAAGATCTTTTCATTTGATACCAGTCTGTAACACCCTTAATAACAACTGCTCAAGTCTTTGCTCTTTCTTAAGTCAAAATGATGAGAATGGAAAATTTTTCCTTCGACAAATAAGGGCTAATAGCATCAAAAAAAAAGTAGTTAGCAGTWCTATATGCAAATAAGGACATTTCACTGTAGACACGTGATAAATAAGTGCCACATTAAGATTGCTCGTATATATTGCGCTTATAGACGAACCTCGTATTGAAAAAAAAGGATKTTCAAGGATTTCTAGCATTCTTAATTCTTTCTATGAAAATCTCAAAAAGTCACTGTACAGTAATTTTGTTTTTTWCCACAATACAATAGAATACAAGATCGCACAATACAAGATCATTGTGAAAAATTATATCTTTAATTGAACAGTGAGAGTCARTGTAATTACAGGTTCTTGATGGAAAATTTTGCCTCGAGTTAAATTCTCCAAACATGWTATATCAAATATCTAATAAATCCGTTTGTTTTCTACAAAGCAAAAATCAATCTATGTCGAAAAGAACCGACCAAACCTTGAATAATATATACGCAGTTTTAGGTATGATGTAAAGTCGATATTGCGTCTTGTCAGAGGACTCTCTGGGAGTCATTTAGAGACAACGTTTATGAGCTGCCATTAGTCCTCTGACATATGTTCTCTTTATGCCTATTCTAGGCTTTCTGTTGACGCATTTTATTCGAGGAGGAAAAACCTGGGAAAACCGACATTTTTTCTTGCCCGCGGTTTRTTTTGCTGTAAGGTAAGACTATTGTTAATTCTTTGACTTTTGGATTACAATAATTTTAATTTTCTTTGGTCTGTTTTCGAGGCTCCGTTATCATCTTATAAAAGCATTATGAATACAATTTGTAAATCGGAGTGTTATTTTATCCTTCTCTGTCCGAGAGTCATTTTGAATATCATTTTCAATATATCGTCTAGTCGGTTATCATGACTGAGGACTAGTGAAGGAAAAAAATAACTTTGTTTCAATGTTGCTTAMTCGTTTCTTGAGCACAAAGCGCGGTTCTGATAAATTTATCGAAAGTTCAGAAACCGTTTGTCCTTCATATACTCAAATACAGGATTCATTTAGTTTTTGTTAAGTATTGTTGAATCACAAAAGTGGACGCTTAAACAGTTTAAGTRATATAATTTTTTTATGTTTTGAGGAATTGCGGGTTTGCGTACGGTCTCGTGAGTCGGTGTTTGATCCGCGTAGAGTATCARTGATCTTTTCCGTCGACTTTAGCGAATTCCACGGAAACGCAATAATGTGACGGGATGAAATGTGATTTAACTGAGACTGACAAGCAATTCTCACAACATTGGATTCATTKTAGAGTTCAAATTCTCAAGTTTAGGATGTGTTTACATAAAGGTGTTCAACTGAGAGTAGAAGAAAGATTGAATTTGCGATTTCTTTGTAAAATCGAGCCTTTACAAATTCAGATATTGTTTTTGGAATGACTACGAGTTCCGAGTGTTTTAAACACATACTAGACCACGCACAAGTGTTTACTGTATTCTGCATTGTGTTAAACTGTTTACAAAGCAAGCGCAATATCTTAAYATGAAATGACCACTGGAACTCCTTAACGGTTTTTGATCTGTTATAGAATTTAGGCTTTCAATCCCCTAGTCATGTTTAATCGAAAATAACGAATAATAAAGTGACAATAATAAAAATAAGGGATAATAAACTGACAATTTGCATCCATTATTGCAAAGYTTGCTTGAAAGTTTACATCGCAGAGTGTTTTTATGTTTTCCGCTTGATCTTTATTACGTTATCACGTTCATTTTCCTTTGTTTCAATGTTTTCCTGTTTATGAGTCCATGTATATTGTCATTGTTTTTCCCCTCTTTTTTCGTGTTAAGAACCCAGTTTTACCCAGATCATGATCATTATTGTAAATTTTCAAATGCCGACACCACTGCTAATTTGTTTTTTTAGACGGTATTTTTGACAATTACTTCTGTCGTTTGACTCACTTCTTTGAAAACGTTTTATTATTATAAGAATGTCAATTTTTTGATTTCTGTTCGCTGTYTTTGATTTCTGTTCGTTGTTCTTCCTTTTTTTGAGATTGTTTTAGTAGTAATTAAACATTTGTTATACTACCTGTCTTAAATTATTTATTTCTGCGTTTAATATGTTTCTGATTCTCTTGAAAACTATTTGAACAACATTATCCTTTTTTTGTAGATCAGTTTTTAAGACTGACATCCTCATTTCCTGGTTTTAAGAATGGATAGTTTGACCTACAGATTTAAACAATCCTGACTAAGAATAGATCAGTTTTCGTCGATGACATCATGACATGATACCACTGTAACATCAATATCACCTTGAACGAAACATCTAGCAAAGTCTTTAAGAACCAAAAGACATATCATCTATTTATTTTGGGATTTCGACATTGTGTGTGTTTCCCAATCCAGYGAMAACTCKTAGATGACGTAATAGATGATGTCATCAATCTACCATCGCGTGGGGTAACATTTTATACAATCCTGTTTTGTTCATATGATTGTCTTTGRCATGTACTTTAGATATTTGTATGTATATCTCTCTACCTTAGCATGAGTCGCTCGAGAATCAATTCAAACTTGACCTATTATCAAAACGTCTTGATCMAACCAACAARAACCTTCGACACATCACCAAGTTTTCTTTATTTCTACCACAACTGCGTGTCTAAAATATAATCGTTGAATCACAGCTATAGGTTGATATTAATGAGGCATAGAAGATGAGGTTGTTAAACCTGTTACACACCCAGGGGGGTACGTCAGCTAACATGACTTGATGCTGTATGATACTGTCAACCAATATTCAGTGTGCCATTAACAGTGCTTTCTGTCAGGATATCATAGCATATAATAAGGTTTTGTGATTTTTTTTGTGAAGTTGATAGGATACCGTGAAATAATGACACAATGAGAAACATCTGACTCTTCCTTATTAAGTGGCTATCTTTAATTTCTCCTTGTTGAATACACATCTTCATCGTTTTTCCAAAAAAAATCAGTACATCTCGCTTTTTGTTGACTTTTGTATACAATGTAGAGATTGATTCTGTCGAAACAGGAATCAGATTGTCCTTAACGGAATTCTCTTTGTTTCCTCATCAGTTTTCATATTGGCATGTCTGTTCATTTACGATCGGTCCAAATCTCCAGTTTCCTGTAACAATCTGATGAATAGTTTAATTAGTCATCGTCATAGTTACGATCCAAACATACAGGCCGTGTTCACACTACGACTTCAGTGCATGATGGGAATTTTTCAATGGAAACCCTCCCTCGATTATGATTGGCTCGAAAGGATCAATGTGCATTCAGCGGTAAGGTGTGAAATAGTAGGAAATGCTTGCTACAATTTGAACGGACAAGAAAAAAACTGAGSAGAGATTTACCATAAAATAGCATTACTGATGCTGAACACTCTTACTGAATGTGCTCTCACAGAGTAGCGCTGAAATATCGTATACTTTTGATGGCAAAAATAATTTAATTAATTGACACGTGCACGCCACTTCACTSAGAGTGGATTAACTGAAAWCCCTGTCATTTATGAATCAGCAATGGTGAATTCCCAACCATTATCCTTTGATTGTTATGTTTGGCTCAAGTACAATTACGTTGTACCATCATGCAAACAAATCGCTATTTATGTCTATGGATCAAAGCACAAAAATAGATCCAGAAAAAATAACATTGTGAACTCGTYTCAGCATGCATTCACTAGAGTGCGTGAAAAAGTCTTGAAATAGCTATTGTGCTAATAATTCTTCATAGCATAGTCAAGGGACCATGAATCTATAAGTCAAGGTCTTAATAAAGTAAAATATAAAAATAAAATTAAAAAAATGATAAATAAAATTCAATAATGAATTGCAAATAAAATCTACTAGAACTTTTTCAGTGGCCACTCGTTGGTGTTCTGGAATAGGAATGTTGATGTGTTCCTTAGTATTCTTATCCGTCAATGAATATTAAAGTGGATTGAATGGTATTTTTTCCATTCTTAAATGGATAGAAGCATTAGAATTTGAAGCATATCTTTGAACATTCAAGTTGATTCCACTCCGAAAGTGGGATTAAATGAACTAAGAAAGAGAAAGAAAATCACGTCTTTTAATCCAATATCTGTCGATTTCACGGTTTTACTGGYGTAGTTCTTTAGCTGTATTTTGTGCACTTGACTCTCTTAATTTTGTTTCAAAGGTTTAATAACATCTCAAAGGACTTATCAGTTTGTACAAGTTCTTAATTTTCAGTGCGTCTGTCATTAGCTGTTGTACTCCTTAGAAATGTTTATGTACAAAATCACAAAATATCGCGGGTTTATCAAGSTATCTMATCAGTGTTGTATCTATTTGTGTCTAAGTTGCCCTTAAGGTACATCTAAATGAGCGTGGAGTCTACCTCTTTAGGRCTTTRCWAGTCACAATCAATCAGTGAGCGTCTGTAGTTKTGGCTTCCTTTAGACTGACGCTACGATTGTGTCTACAAGGATTTCGTAAAAAAATTAGAAAAATGTCGCGCCTTCATTTTTACTTTCCTACTTTTTTCTCATTTTTTTTAYATTTCTTTTTTTACTTTRACTCCATGTTTCTCCTTTTTCACAATTTTTCTCAGGTTTCATGTTCTTTTTCTCTTTACTTATCTTATCAATCACAATTATTAGCTTTATTTTCTTTATATTTATTTCATCTTCTCTTCATTCACTTCTTTTGTTTTGCTATCTTTATTTTTCTTCCTCTCTTTCCGATATTGCAAGCACGTGTTATACTCCATATAAAGGCTGATTTCTGTATTGCTATACACGCTCCTAGTCATGCATTCTCGACCATCTTCYAATTTTTCCTTCATTTGTTCTTTTCAGTATTTCATACGTTTCTCGTTTGAACTAGTAAATTAATYATCTACATTAAAACTACCTATTCCCAACAAATAATGTTGATTTACAGCTCTGGAAGAACAAATCTTTAATTCAAATCTTTGGATGATGATTTTATATCATATTTTCTGACGAGGAAGTTGAAGTGTCCTAGAAGGCTACGTCATTAGTCGTTATTAACCACCAAAAGATGCTAACTTCCCACGATCGTTGGGATCTGTTACGTTTTCTAATACATCAAAAGTGTTTCGTTGAGAGATTCTTGAGTCCATCATCGCCAAATCTCATTAAGGATTTTCTTCTATTATATATTGATACGATCTGACGATGAGTCAGTCATTTTGAATTCACCGTCGCTCTGTAGACATGTGAACCTTTTTTTCTTCTGATTTCAAAAGCATTGAATTTACTCGACCTCRGCTTATAGTATTGCAATTTTGTATACCATTCAAGTTAAATCAAAGGTATTGGATGCCTACAAGTGGAGTTGTTGCTATCTATAAAGAGAAATCTGACGCTTGTATCTTGATTACAGGTGCTTTATTAGTGATCCAGCAGAATCAATACAACCAAGGTATGTACATCATGTTATTAACGCCCATTTCCCGCTAAGGCGTTTTCGTAGTGYATTTGTGTTTCTGCTCGTTGACATCAAATATAGTTGTAAACCGCAATACATTTGTACGCCGTCAACAATATACGAACACTCAACGACAACGTTTCAGTATGGAAGAAAACTTTTACGTAGTTTTTTTTTGTGCGCCAACGCTTTACGAAGACGCAATGTAAACGCGTCAATATGGACGGGTATCTGAGGTGTTTTCGTTACGCTATTCTTTGCGTTTGCCATCCACAGATCTATGAAAACGTCATTACGAAAACGCTATGGAAAACCGTTAATGCGTGTGAGACTTTATACGTTTTAGAATTTGCGTTGTTCGCGCACTCGCCATTCATCAGAAGCGAATGCATATCGTAATGCGAAAACGCAACATAAACGCATTAACTTGGGCGGGCGGGCGTAAGTCGGTAAAGGTGACAATAATACGACAATTCAATCTAATTTAATTGGTTTTTCGCGTTACTTAAGGAACCATAAATGTGAAGTGTGAAGGAATAATTAACTAATACCTTAATCTTCTTTTTCAATCTGCTTTCTAAAATCCGACATGATTTCACATTGGCGGGGTGGATTTCTCAATCACTTGACAACAGATTTTCTCGATATTACGAGGCTGAGCCGACGCCTGTCACGGTTCTCTCGACACTTCGATCAAAATCGTGAATCCTTAACGTTACTCGTTTTCCATGCGTTCTGAGAATTCTGCTAGTCTTTTACTTGCGTACTGCATACAGTACATATATTTGGTCTTCTTACAATTGGTTTACGTGATGTTAGCTTGTRCTGAGTGCTAATGTATAGATGTTTGTTTCTGGCTTCTTAAAGGGTTCAAATATCGGTATTTTACATAAAAGTCTAAACATGATTCTACTAGTGGGGCACGCTTCAAGTTTTCCATATTGAAATCGTTACTTTGAGTCATTTGTAGAAGACGTTGCAATTAAATGGTAGAGTATATTGCCTATACACAGTAAGATAGCGCGGTCTAGGAATCGAACTCCTGTAGCATGGCTCTGACTAACAAGTGGATCATAGCACGTATTACCTAATGAGCTTAGAACGTCGTTCACAGTGCACATGCGTAATGAGACTTACGTTGATATATTTATATATAGTCACGTCCATTTTGCGTCGTTATGTCTCTATTTATATACGTCTCTACGTAATTAGTGTCACGATTAACTRCGTTTAGCTATACCGCSCATGAAAAGATAGACGACAAACAGCAAACAATAGTACAAAATCGTGGTTTTCTTTGAAGAATGATTGATGGATTATTTGTTGAAAATGATAGGTTAATTTTAGTTGGTGCTTGTAGTATAAATAATAGGTATTTTCGCGCGTTTTTTGAGCGCAAGTGTTGAACTTTAGTKTGGAAAGGAAAACGGACAAGGGATATGCCTAATGGAATGATGAAATTTTGAAATAAATCAATAAGATTCTTTTTGGGAAAATCTCACGACAGCTATGTACGGTACGATTGCGTACGATCACGATATGGTGTACTTAATTTGTCATGGAAATTGTAACCCATTGAATTCTAAAATACCATAAAGACACCCACGCGAACTATTATCTGTATAATAAGCCTTGATTGCGGCCATTCCACGTACGAATGACTTAACAATTTACGACATTCACTAGTTTAACAAGATAAAACGTTAATATCCTGTCCGATGAATAAAGCATCTCCAGCAACGAGGTGATCTTAATCTGCGCTCAGTTTGAAATAATTCATCAGTTCCAAGTTTCCTTATTATGTCAATATGATATCTCTGATGGTAATTTCATTGTACGAATCGTCATGTGCAGACGACATGTTGTCTCTACGGCTGATTATRGTAATGATTAGTCATACACACGACTCGTCATCATAATCATAACTTGCATCACCGTCTTTATTGTCATTAGCTTTATTTTACTCGATGCTCTTTTTTTAAAACCGTTATAAACCCGACTTGCAGTAAAAAATCTAATTACAATAAGCGCGGTTATTGTCCTGTAAGTACCGGAGGCACAGATCACGCAATTTCATGAAAATAATTAGCTTCAAACAATAGACCATAAGATCCCTATTATTACAAAAGATTCTAAGAAAAATTACATTACGTTAATGACTTAACCAGTATGTGGCACGATTACAAAACATTATTTTGGAAGGACAATTTATCGCTGAGATTTTTTACGACCATCAAGGAAATGTGTGTGTGTCCTGAGAGAGACTGAATACATAACAATATTTGTATTGCCACAACGTATGTGGAACTTAGTTTTTCATGTTAGATTAAAATAGGTTCCGGTACATGCAGGGTAATCCGAAACAGGTTTCCCAATCATTGGCGACACAATGTCAGCCATGCTGCATCAARTARGAAYCSATAAATGCAMTTTCATGAAGAAACTGTAAGAAAAAACTATATCTTCAATGTTATCCTTCATGGCGGCTCTTTGATGTAAGAAAACGATAAAATAGTCAAAACAAATGACGAGGAAAAAGCCTCATTCATGAAAGATTCATTTATGATTTTACATAATGAAGTAAACTGCAGTGAACACTATTAAACTCTCAGTGGTTTTTTATTTCAGAATTCACCGCATTTCCGTACTCCATGACATTTYCTTTTGTAATTCCTAACGTTACTAAACATCAACYAACAATCTGTGTAGAACTTGTCGAGATACAATCACTTTGTGAGATCATCGTCCGACCACGTGATGTGATTTKAAATCAACTACCTTCCCTGATTTTWCTTRTAGATAAACTGCCAAAAACCGCTTTGTGAAGTCAGTCTTGCAGAGTCATTTCCTGAGCAACTGGTAACCGTCGAATTTGGAAACACAGGTATGGTTTGATGCATTTGTGATTGGTTTTATATACCTTAAATACTAGAGCTTTTCATTTTTTAATGATCCCATATAGCTAAATAATTTACTATAAAATTTAATTTTTTTGTAACTACTGTAGGAAAAAGTATGTTGACAGCTACTAATAGTTGTAAGAACGAGATTGATATTTTTAGCTYAGATTAGAAGATTTTGACATGGATTTGGCTCGATTCGATTAATTCTCCCTCGTTAYTTTACACTTGCTTGAGATGAGCGAGTCAATATAGTCTTAAAGCCTGGCTTTTACTTTACAATTTAAGCATTTTTCTACTAGGATTATGCAAGCATGCATGGAGATGACAGATTTCTTATCTTTATATTTATATCACGATTTTCATTCCTTTTTTCAGTTGTTCCAGCATTTTAAAGCTGCATAACTTGTGATAACGTAAACAAAAGCTTRAATTGTCTTTCTTAGAATCAAACATCGCTTTAATGTATCAAAATCATTCTTTGATCGCTGCTATAAATGCAACAAACTCAAAAACAAAAACTCTCTTTTCTGAGAAATTGCAACTTGACTTTTGATCTAATATTACTTCAGTTTAAAAGCAAGTTTCATATAATTGTGGCTTGATGCATATAGAAATCTATTAAGTCGATATTGTATTCCCAACAGAGGAAATGCATCTTTTGACATTTGTAAAGCAAGGTCTGTTAGTGAACATCGCCAATGGCTACGCGTTACGATCCTTTTACTCTTCTTCCGATTAAGGCAATGCTTTAAGGTGTTACAAAATACTCCTTCAATTTCTAAGGAATGTTGATCGATTGTTATCTTGGTGCAGAAATTGAATCTTTAATCTAAAAACTCTTTTGAATTATTGACTTTCCGGCAAGCTGTGTGTAAAATGTTGCTTTTGAACAACTGAGGTACTCCTTATTCTTTCTTGTTTTCTTTTTCCCCATTTTCTTGCTGTCTTTCATTCCCTGATACAAACGTCAGCAAAAAACTTAGGTATAAGTACCTAAGAAAGTGTATAAAAATGGATGAGTGCCCATTGAGTTGTTTAGCGGGTTGTTGTATAGTAATTTTCAATGTTTTGGTTCCGTAATTGTACTGGGATTACGAAGTTCTCTTGACATTGATTGTCAATAAAATCATTAAAGTCATTAAGATGTCCTTTTTATTTTGCGTAATTTTCCTAACATACTTAACAAACCAGCGAACTTGTGAATTAGTCTCTCGCAGTTTTTACATGAACTAATATTCTATAACACGCCCTAGCTCGGGCGGGAAGCCGGTTAAGATCCTGGGCAATCGCTCCAGGCGACTAGGGATTATCAGTTAAAACGGAACGCTGCTAGATTTGAAACGTCAGTCGTTGTATGACTCAAAAGGTATCTATTAGCGTCTCTTTCAGTTCTGTATTACTTGTGAAAACTCCCATGACCTTAACTGTCCTGATTTGCACAATTCACATTCAATCAATGRAACAGCTTTTGATAGCAAAATAACAACAAATAGAAAKACTTTTTCCTCGTCTTGACTCACACAGCGCTGACACTAATCCGATAAAACGGAGCTCCTGAGGAAACGCAATCAAAAACACGCCGGAAAAATTTAGTTATGATCAGAAATTGTTATGTAAAATTGGAACCGAATGATTAGACACAGTTTGATACTTGGATGTCAATCTGATTGTGATGGSTACATTAGCGTGCGGAAGATGTAGACTCTATCGGTTTTCACAGTAGCGCTATTAGTTTTGTATATATTCATATGTGCTTCACAGTATTCTATGTTTTTGCCGTCTAGAATTGCATTTTATTTTTATCGGAACTTATTCATTATGTAATTCGTTCATTAGCTGTAGTGTATTATATCGTGAACWTTACAAACCTAATTCATATGTATACACACATGTTGGTTAACAGACGCCCGGTAACTAAAGTAGTGTCCGTCACGTAGTTTGCGATGTGGTCAACACATAGAATAAAGATTTGATATAAAGGACAACATATATCCATGAGCCTTTGCGCGATTGTCTSACATACGAAAATTCGCCATCTTGGATTTTAAAGAAAATCAGAAGGCACGTTTCAACAAAAGATTAGAAAAAAAAGATGGCACGTAGGCCTTTAAGATGTGTAGACAATAACCTTTCCATACTCTTAAGGTGCACGCAAAGTACTATGGGTATCGTCAGTTAAGTTAAGTTAACATGATTTRTATACTCGTGTTACTCTTTATAAACCGTGAAATACTCAAGCAGTWGCTAGTTTTTGTAATCTTCTTACTCTTCAAACCTGTCAGTCTGTTATATTTGTAGCATTTCGCTGCCTTTTGTTCTTGATCTTCCTTCAGTCTCGTATCGATATTGTTTCAACAACATTCTTACAGATTTAACAGTCGTCAAGATGTCGATGTCCTGRTTTCGGYGAATTGATGTATTTATAGTAATTGTCTCCTTATGGCGAGTCTATTTGGCATCGTTGGTATTCTAGCGGTATATACAAACTGTATTGAACTTACTCAGTCTACAGYATAGACCGAAAACACCATACATTCACGGATTAATAATTAATTAATACATATCACGTTGATATTTCTTTCTTTTATTTCTTTTTATTGATGAAGATCGAGTTACTAAAAGTATAAATTTTTAATAAATCTGCGCACCTATTTTTCCCCTATACGCGCCAAAAGGCAACTTATCTGTTATAGTTATTAAGGAAGAGAAATCTCGTCTAACTTTCTCAACTCGCTATTTTACTACTCTAACAAGGAGATACATCCAAGGACATTGTGATAAATTTTTATAAACATGGATTCTGATAATATCCTATTTCCCTCCATGAAATCAATGAATGTGTATGTACTTTAATTTCTAGTTTCTACATAAATATATAAAGGTGTTTTGTAGTATAAATATAGTATATATTAAGTGTCACATTACTTGCTTAAGCTAGAGTCGAGAGAATCGGTGTGTAAAATGTTATGGACTTACTGATATTTAGGACGTTGTAGTAAAGTCATAAAGCTATTTTTTACTATGCAAAATATGTTATCATTTTACAAAGTTAAGGCTAATGAAAGTCATTTTTTGTTCTCCATATTTCAATTAACGTTGAGATTTGTTTATAAAGATTTCAGCCCTTGCAATTATTTGATTCCCATTTAGATAAATACTTTACACTTGAGAAAGAAATCATGGCTCTCATCACGAATTTCTTTCCGATCATTTACACTCGGAACTGAATATTTACTGTCAAACAGTATTGTGCCAGCGGACTCGTATCATCCTCGGACAAAGCGACCGACTTTTTTTTATAGTTCGAAACCTCGGTTTACTAAAAAAGTTGATATAACTGTATTGGCAGCCAAATTAGAGTGGATTTCATAAAGCCATGAAATAGGTATTATAAGATATTGTTTCACGGGTTTGATGTTTTTATTCTAGTAAATGATGCCATGTCATTAAATATCGATATTTAGTCAGTTTCATACAAACCATAGTCTCAGTTTAGACCCATGTGGAATCTTATTCACTGGTTAATTCAAGGAAAACATCACTTCAGACCAATTTTAATTTTAATTTTAAAATATTTGATACTCTACATCGGTATTGTATTTTTTTGGTTTCCAGTTCTCGTAACTCGGAAATTAAGTCAAATTACACTCTAAGCCAACATCATGGCGGTAGACAAAGCGACAAGAACACGTCGCATGCCTACCCAATCAACATGCGTATAATATCTCAGACAATATGAGCTAGCCAATCACAGCGCGTGTAATAAGGTCAGTGAAATCTTTGCATGTACTTTTACTATGTTTTAAATTGTAAAGCAATAATTTGACAATACCGTGACTCAATAATAATATGCCGTGACTTCCCACCCAATCCTCATGGTTAACGTTCGACAAGCTGTACGCATCTGGCTAATATTTCCGCAGATTACTACAGAGATTCATAGGCTTCCGATTCACGTGGATTTTTTTCATCCCCACAATACAATGAGGAAAGTTTGCTGTGGATAAGTGTAGCAACAGGTATCATAACATGCCGGAGTTTTAATTTTTTAGAGGACAAGTTCACATTTTCTAACCCACACTTTTTTTGGTGATCAAAGTACTTGAATCCTGCTTTTCCTTGCTTTAAAGTGTGAAATTAAATGGTATTTTGATTAGGAACCATTTCCTTTTTGCCCTACTAGTCTTTTAGAAAACACATGCGAATCTGCGTCCACTTGAAGGGTCAGTTAATTGTATTTTCTGTCAATAAGGTGTTTATTTGCCAATCTTGTTATCTATTTATCTTTTTATAGCACTTTGACTTAATAGTTTAATTTTTTTTCTGTGCAAACGGGTGTAAATCGTTTTATCGTGGTGGTAAACAAATTTCCTAGCTGTAAACAAAGCAATTATTGATCTAAATTAAAACCCAATGCTGAATTCTTAGCGTTAAATGGCAATGACCCACAAAGTAACCCCACTTCAATAACGCACAACCTTTTTACGCAGATAACGTGAATGTATTTTACCTGAACGAACACTAGAAATATTGTTTTAAAACTAAATTTCTTTAAAATAAACTTGTTGTATTGGTTCAATATGATCATTTTATTCAGAATATAAGAGAGAAAATATAGAGCAAATAATATCTCCTATTTTAACATCCAAGGATTGGTTTGCTTATAGATCAGTATATATTTCTTTGCATAAAATCAGTACTTCTAGTAATCATTATAAAATTTATCTTGCCAAATCGCTAATGACGACAAACGAGATATCATCTATTTTTATCTTTATTGGAATGAGTTTGACGTGACATTTGAAGAGGGACATATAGTGAGGAGAAAATCTTCATCTAGCTTAAATTGTTAACTATAAGCCTGCGTTGAGATAAGACGCCAAAAATAGCGCACCTCAGAAGCCTCGAGGCAGCCATTGGAACATCTTGTAGTAGTTTGATGCCGTCAAAAAGACACTAAGGTAGGACTGAAAAACCTTTTAAGGTCTCTAGATTTATCATTTACAAGACCAAACCGAGAAATGTCTGTCCAGAACGTACGTATGTCAAAAGCTGTGTAACACACTAGTAGCATCGTGTGTAAGAGACTTATTTTGCTCACACTGATATATATACAATGCCATTCCTAGTATAAGTCTAACTCAGTCTTCTCTAAGTTCTTTTCACCAAGGGTTTTTAGTAGTTTAACTAGATAAGGTACACTATTTCATATAAAAAGCTCTTATTTATTATCACTGTAATGACAATTTTGGCTCTACAACCGACATTACAGTTGTTTAAATGACAGCATGGCATCTAATTGTCAGTGGGCATTGAGCTGCTGTGTGTCCAAGGCTGTAACAATGACAATGAGATAGGTGCTGGATGAACAAAGTGAGGCAGTCAGACTAAACAGAATGACGGTTAATTCACTCAAAGAATCATATTCATTTACTTAAATTCGTATATTAATAGTAGAACTCAGTTCAGTTCAAATAATCTCTGTACATCGTCATGGTGATCGGTATTTTTTACTCCCTCTTACCAGACTATTCATCAACACCTGTGTGTTTTTCTGACGCTACATCGGTTTCAAGAATTGGCTTAAATACTATTTATTTAGTTTAATATTCTTTACGTTCTCACAAGTATATAAATCTCTTGTTGACATTAAAATTAACTGGTGATTTAGAGCATTTTTAGTCGGCTTGTTTTTGCGATGTCTTTCATTTTGCATAATTTATAGAATGATTCAACGTTTTGAAGTACGCTCACCTTATTTTTTGTTTTATCATTAGTTTCATAATTTTATAGCAATATTTCTCTTATCAGTTTTTCATGAATGGATTTATTAACCTCATTGTTTTGACTTTAATTATTTCCGGCATTGATTTTTTAGCTTATGAAACAACCATTAATTACATATGAAAACTGCAAGACGCCCACCAGTCATCTATATCAAAATTTCTATTCTAAATTGAATTTATCTTTTTCTAAGATCTTGTCAAAATATCGATTGTACGTCATTCCCATAACCCAGAACTCTTATATTACAAGTAACTAAAAAGCAGTGAGAAACTCCTCAACTTCAAAATATCATTTCGACATTAAAAACCTCAAAAATGTCAAGAACACGGTTTATCGTTCACGGTGCTTTAAATTTCCGGCCTAGTCAAACAAAAGTCACTTTATTTCTTCTTAATCAGTTAGTAGCAGGGCTGATAAGAAGTTCATAAAAATATAGCTTTATTAGATTGTGAAGGGGTGCGAGCAAGGATTGGTCAGGAGAATTTACATTCAGCTTGATATCTTCTGCCAGCCAGACAAGGATGAGACGATGTAAGTCAGATATTTACCACATTTAACAGCTCCATTTCAATCATAGTTGGCTTTACTTATGCCGTTTCAACAGTATTCATCTAATCGACGATCTTGTTGTCAAACGACTTCGTGTCTTAGCAGTGATTTATGATGTTGTATGTAGTCATGCTAGTATCATGAATATATCACAGTATATCCGTGTTTTCTAAGACGTCCGTCAAATATATAATAGATTAGGGAGATTTGAATGAAGCTAAATCACTTTCTTRTTGTAGGAGAACATTCGAGTGAAGTCATAGATATTGCAAGCTAATAGACTTCAAAACCATTGTTTTCTTTTGTTCATTTTATCACCTAGTGCCAGCTAGATAGCCTTTTCACGGTGGACGATAAGCCACTTATTTTGTTGCTATGGCCCTGGGCTGCCTGTGTGCTTCTTGTAGCTTTGTACGTGTTGGTGTTTATGTCCCTATAGATCAAGAATAGTCATCCATTATGTCGATACGAATTAGCGCCAACAGCTCGTGTTTATCCCTTAGCTATGATATGAATTTATCCGTGTAGCAGTTTGAGGTCGGTTTCTTRACTTTCTTGACTTGAGGATTAACGTAAATATCTGTAATTCTATCTTTGAACCAGTGAGGAGGAAAACTTGTGGCTTAACAGACATCGTTTAACTTCCTGATATTTGGTTTGTCAAAATGTTTGTTTAGGGACCGCTGTCTTTCTGCATTCTGTTTATATTTTAGCATACTRAACCACAAGTATTTCATTCTTGATCCGTTAATATGGAGGTGAACGAGGTGAACAAGTTATCGAATGAATGGATGAATAAATGAATGAGTGATTAAAATAATGGATGGTAATGTTGTCAGAATCATTTCTGGGCTGGAATTGTTGACGATTTTGGGTTATCCGATTAACAATTGATGCCTTTAGGACCTATTATGGTGTCTTGATGTACTCTTATGTCACAGGGTTTCTACTCGTAAAATCACGGGTTAATATACTGTGGATCCTAGGTCAGAGGCCTTCTCTCCGGTCTACTATTAACGTTCATTACTGACTGTTGTAGCGTTTGACTTGTAAGGATTATGCACTTTACATCCAGTGCCGTGAACGAACAGTTTTCACTTAGTTATCACACTGGTCTCCAAAACCCATTAAAAACACGATTATGGCGCATATGATGTAGGATACGTTTAATGATATCAAAATTTGAAAATTACGTCACTGTTAGAGATGTGCCCATAGATACGAAGGCTCCTAAAGTGCGTGAAATCGAGTCTAGGGGGATATACAATTCTGGTTATTGTGGGTTTCGTTGAAAAATTATTTGTGCCTTTCTCATTGTGAATTGTGCATGTTAACTACATGTATCGGTTATGATTGCAATATATTGGACATGCTTTACCTTAAGAAAACCAGAGCAAGTTGTATTCATGCTGCCTGTGCCTAGATGGTTTCACAAACTTAAAAACGTCTCGTCAATAATATATGTATAGAACAATCCTGCTCTAAAGGTCAAAAATCTGTTTTCTCACAGCGCTTACGCTTTTTAATCTTACTAAGRCTGTACACTACAGATATCGCTAATTTTAACCGGGAACAAAATCCATGAAACAGATACTGGATTTATACAATTTCTAGTATTTACATTGCTTATGTGCAGAAAATTAGACTAGTAGCGTAAATATTGTAAGTTTTAGAATTTTTATATAATYATTATTAAAAATTAGTTCTTTATTATAAGACTAGTAGCGTCTGGACTATATTTTACCAGCTTTTTGTCTTCGCTTTGGTAGAGTTGCAGACTATGACGGGTGATATACCATACGTACRGTTATTAATCAACAGTTCGTGCGAAAATCCATGGTCTCTCGCCAAGAGCATGAGAATAATGACTGTAAAGAGATAGTAGAAATATTCAGGATTTGAAGATAAAGCCATAATTACTACTATTTTCTGTACATCTGTCTGTAAGATGTCTCACGCACGACCAGGAACATGAACCAATCCCATGATGACGTTATGTTAYTACCAGAATCCTTTTCGTTGATGACCCATTCAAATATCACTTTCAGGAATACTAATATTATCTTTCCAGAAACATTAGTAGACACCGCGGTGTTTAGTTTTATAAATGATTGGTAGAACGATAACTTTCTGATCTCTGTCTAATCTATATCTATAATTTTACTTGATCACCCAAACACAATTTCCTTTGSAATTTGGACTCAACAGGTTTTAAAAGAATCTCTATACTTGATGTAAACTGCGAATATGATTACTTGTTGTAATGCAACAACTTTGGTATTCAATTGACTTATCGCTCAATAAATAAACGCTGCACCCTTCTCAAGTCCCGACCATCTATAACACTCGATCTTTTCCGCTGACAGCACCTCCAAAATCATACACACAAACGCTTAAAATCGCTCTTATCTTAGGTTTACGCCCGTGCTCCGCTACGCCTCGGGCAATTTTTAACGAGTTTCGGGTGTAGACCCTTTCGTTACCGTGCTTGAGCTTTTAGTGCCATGTTATTTTTAAAGATACGCAATGAAAGACAATATGTAGTGTTTTGTTTATATTGATAATACAACAACATCATGTAGTGTAATCTAATGGCATAATAGTCAACCAACGCGTAGTTCACTAATTTGTATATAATGACTACTAGCTATATGTTTTTAGTCTTGTTCAATATATAAATGATTTACTATAGCTGATACGTAATGTTAGATGTGTTGGGATATGTGGTCGGTGTGTAAACATATCGATTACCGTATTTATCTATTCAAATTCATGCTGAGCCTGGACTGTGGTATTTACCAATGGATTAAGTCACTACTGTTCTGCATATTACGATTTTAGAGCAATAAAATGGACTTTTGAGAAATGTCTTGGAGAAGCGAATCTAAAGTTGTGCATTTTAATGTATTCCTAGGCGTGATTYACTAAGCTAATTACTTTTCTTTCATTATCAAAAGACTATTTAAGGCAGTTATTGAAAGCGATCTTTTTGTTCTTGTAAAGAAAAACTTTGTCTCCCGCTTGTTCTTTATTGGATGTCGTCATAATCAAACAGATTATCWACTAACAACAAAGACATTCATATTTTACTTAGTTAAGTTTGCAAATGCATTAATATGTGTATCAAAAGGTTTTCCATAAAGAGCACACAATTGTTATGGTGTCGACMATTCAARCTGGCCAGYCAGTCCCAATGAAAGGAAAAYGAGSGCGTTCAAATGTATATAGCCWTCCCTGGCGTTTTAGGCTTGAAGAGTAGKTTATCTGTTCTATAATCTATAATTWTACGTCATAGTAGTGCTCGCAGTAATCACTGACCTCTTTGACGTTTGTTAGATCACATCAACTAGGTCCGTACACCAACACCTTACCCACACTACAAGTTTATCAGCACAGCTACCGAAGTATCTTATTACTGAAAGAACTGAATGTTTTGAGTTCAAGCCCGAATCTTTGATAGGAGTTTGGAACATCCCACCCTTGGACAATCTGTTTCTTGAAAACAGACATATCCAAGCTTTGATGTTATGAAAAACTTGTAAATAGTAGATCAAGGCATCTACGGAACGCCAAACCATAGAACATTGAGTAACACAGAGTTTTCATTTCAATTAACAGTCTGAGATTGTAGGAGGATGGTCARCCYCACYGAGATGGTGCTGAATGCTACAATGGCAACAAATAATATAACCGGTAGTCCGATTGGAGAGGCACCGCCGTCATTTGCTAAAGAACCAGTATTTTCGATTATCATACGATGGATTATAGCTGCATTAATATTTCTTGTTGGTAAGTAAGTATTACTAGATTTCCCTAAACTACTTGGTTAATCATTGTCCTTTAAGTTGCCTAAAATGACGGTCCAGACGTGGAGTTTTTTGAGCAGTTACGGTGTTATATTCTTTAGTAAGGACTGGTTAGTTTCATAGCTAAACATYTAAGGAGATTCAACGAGTGTTAATCGCTTGTAAAACTGTCAAAATACCACACATCGTGAATGTAGAATGGCAGAAATCAATTTGATCTGGGATCATTTTAGAAAGAACGCATCGTTTAGATGCATTCCAATCGCAAACATGCAGGGATAATAAAGGCTTGTCATGTAATGTTGTATCGAAAAAGACATTCTATTAATGTGATTCCAGAAGATATCATTAAAAACATCTAAACTGAGCTATATTCAACGTAACAATCAAGAGATTTGTTTGTGAGCTTGCTATTCTATGTGTATTTTTGGTGAGACACGAACGACGTCAACGAGTGGGCTGTCTATTAAATCATTCGTTCCGATCAAGAACTTCATTTAACCTTGATTTAAAAACCACTTTTGAGCAATCAATGTCTATAAGTGCGGTTTTTACACTGGAATAAACACAGCATGATTCTAAAGTACCGAGGTAAAGATTTGCTAACAACAAGAGTAAGCCATTGACAAAAATAATCGGATTTATGGATATTGTGTTTCTAAACCATATACAACAGAAAAAAGACGCGTTTTGAAGTATAATGTGACTATTGGAAAACAAAACCATTATCAGTGTATATACTATACTTAGCATAAACACCCGAATTGCTGCGAAAGAAAACATTTCAAAGAGTAGAGGTGTTTGTATTAAGTGAAATCATGTGTGAACATGTGTTTATCATAGCAAAGGTCTTGTTGAGGAAATCTTGACTCAAGGAAATACTGTAGTTTCAAAGACTCTCGTCCGGTTGTGTCGTGGTTTGATAACCATGTTAATCACAACAAATTTATGAACGCAAGTGATGAACATGAACGGTAATTATCCAAATTATTCCACGTACAGCTCAACTACAACAGGACCAACACGTAGCCTGTCGTGACTAACCTTATGTATAATGTAGGCCTTAAGAGCGACGGCTTACTTGAGGATAAACGGCTTTTGAAGATGTTGAGCGAAAATCATGTCTTCATTCCGTGACTCTAAGAGATGCTGTTATGTTTAAGGATTGCATGTCAATGATGGCAATTAGAAGCCCACTTAATATCATATTAATGGTTTTAGTCGTGGAGATTGAAAAAAAAGCGTCAAACATGACGATTTAGTTTGAAATTTTTAGGCCTTGTAAATCTGTTTACTTGAGGTTTGTTGGTAATTTCAGTTTTTAGAAGATTAAATCAATTAACGAGCCTATCAAACTGACAGATTGAAACCTTATGTAGGAAATTCCTTTGAAAATGGTTTACACTTGTCACGGTACGCCATACTTGAAAAGATRAGTCGTAAACCTTGTCACGCAATGTTCACAGMGYCAAAAACGTACATCTATCKGACGTAAACGTAAGATGAAATCATAGCGTAACGCAGTCGTGTACCCGGCTGCGCTATGAAAATATGGAATAGATGGAAAGATTTGTGATACATAAGTGAATGGAATGAATGGATGGAGAGATAGATAAATGAATGAATGAATGATTGGGAATTATTGTAACGTAGGCTTTTATTCCAGGAATGGTCGGGAATTGTTTGGTATGTGTGGTCGTTTTTAAAAATCATCGTATGCAAACTGCTATGAATATGTTCTTGGTAAACCTTGCGATATGTGATATGTTTGTGTGCGTGATCAATATTTGGTTTACGATGATCTACTGGGAACTCGATGGAGAATGGCCCTTTGGTTTAGCTTGGTGCAAAATTATGCCTAGTAAGTATAATATTTAGTCATGATAGATAGTTATTGGTGATAATAGTTATGGTTCTAATTATAATCATTATCAGATCATTTGAGATGACAGGCATGTTCTTAAAGACATATGGGATCCCTGTTTCGAAAAAAAAGAGTGGAGACTGGCACGAAGTGATTGTCGACATTCTCTATAGTGAGAAGTGTCTTTCTTTATTCCTTAATATACTCAAGGAACATACATCCGAATATCGCATAATTAAACCGACATATGGCATATGAATTTTACTGGTTACTTTTCCTGTTGTAAAAAGTCAGCAATTTTATTTGCTTTATKACAAATTCTTTGTTTATTGAGAACTCTTCTAATTAGTCTCTGTCTTTTTGTTTAAAAGCGCTACAAATCATGAACATTGCGGCATCGACAGGATCTTTAGTCGCCATGTCCGTAGAAAGATATAGAGCCATATGTATGCCAATGGCATTACCTCTGTCTCGATCACAAGCAAAGCTATCAATTGCCTTAGCATGGACCATTGGGTTATTTGTTGCACTACCAGAATTAGGTGCCTACACCATCGTGGACCGGGGTAAATATGAATATGGATGCCAGGAAGTTTGGCCTTATAAAGTTTTACAAAAGATCTACTCCATGTTCCTCTTTGTGGCTATGTATCTGCTGCCACTACTCTTTCTATTACCTGCCTACATTCACATGATATATAAACTATGGGCTGTCGAGGAGATTAAATCCACAACAAGTGGCGTGACTCAAGGCGATCCACAGGCCTTGAAGAGAAGAAGAAACGTTTTGATGATGATGGCAATCGTTGTAGCGTCGTACGCAATATGTCTTATGCCGTATCATGCAGTGTACCTTTGGATGGATTACGGATCAGGTACGKYAYTTGTTTATTTTTCATGCCCTTCTTTTCTTCTTGCTCTAMTAACTTGCCTATCTTCACTCGCTTWACCTCTATTGGCTTGTTTAGTGGGTCATTCGTTTATCCCTTTAGTTCATCCTTCCAGTTCCCGCTCATCTACCTGCCCATCCCTTCCTCTTCCACTTCCTTCGCTCGCCCACTTTTTTTACTTCCTCTTCTTTGTCTACTTGGTTGACTTCCCCGTTTCTCCATCTTCTTGCTTGACCCCCTCTTGAGTCCCCCTTATCGAAAAGGTTTTGAATGCACCCGCTTTCAGCCTGTGATGATTGCAAACCTTTCTCGTGTTCTCCCAACAATCCAGCGTGTTAGAATAATGTGCGAGAATAGAGAATATCTTCTAATGGTTGAATTGCATGAATTTTCAGGCATGACGTTTTCTTACCTCGTTATACTCCTATGCTACACCCAGGCACTATCATGGTTCAACAGCTGTGTTAACCCCATCATCTACTGGGTCTTCAGTGAGCAGTTTTCTAAAGAATTCAATAAAATCCTTGGATGTAATCGTCTTAAGCGCAAACGGAGAATGTCTTTCACGCATAGCTCTTCTGAGCAGAATCACTCYAACGCGCCTGGCCATACTCTTAACACAAACGTTCACTCTCAAAAGGTATAATAAGCGACTAAATGGAATAATCACTGTTTGAAACAAGYTGTCTACACAATCCATTTGCCAGAAAGACGAAAAGCAACCTGCTCATGACACGGCGAAAGGCTAAGCCATACATCCTGTGGCTGGCATTGGGTATTCTTGGYGACTCTTTTGAGACATTCTCAAACTTTGCTAACATCAACTCGAGAATGGGAACAAAAAAACATTTGTAGAACTAGGTCACATGGCACTGCTGGGGTGATCCATTTCATCGACAACTGAAACTTGTCTGCCAAATATGTTGCTAAAACGACTCAACAGATGCAGATTTTGCCTTGTAATTTATGTACATATTATATTTCATGGTCTTCTTAGTAAAACGCATAATATCTTATCGCTAGCTAGTGACTTACCACCATACCCAGCGGACAACATCTTCACGCAGTAACGTGAGAGCTGTTTTAAGGATCTGATAGGCTAGGGTAGTTTAATAATAAATACTGTCATGTCAAGATTTGTGAAATTGGGTGGATTAACGTAGTACCTTTATCAATATTATTTGCTTTTTATGATCAGCGCTCTGCTAAGCAAATTCTCAAAGAAATGCTCTATATTTGACAGTTTGTTGGAATTCTTGCAAGAAATTATTATCAAGTGGCTTTCATAACATTTGAAATATAGATACAGTATGAACAATGTTAGTGTGGATCATAATCGCTTAGTTTCCGTGAAACAAAGCATAGCTAAAGTTTAAACATGTTTAATACTCCGTCAAGACAAAGAAAAGTCTAATACTAGAATATTTCACGACTCAAATTATGAAAACCACTCAAGACGCTTCCAACTTCGACGATGATATATTATTTAGCTAAAAACCATTGTTGGTTGTAAAATTAGTTAATTTATTAAGATGAAGAAATTAATATAGGGTTCATATTAGAGAAAATGCATTTTGTTAGGCTTTTTAGAAATAGCGGCATTGATTCGTTTTGTGTTATAGTTACATAGTTTTCTTATTTATGCAGTATCTGACCTTATCTTATTAACACACGACTCATAGCTTTAAGGCTTGTAACGACTTCCCAAAATGTTTGCTGTGAACAGTGGTCAGTGTTTTGATGGTCAAAAGGGTAATAAAATACACTGCATAAGTATGAAAATCGCAGTATTGATGTAAAGTATATATATGTGTATATATTGTTATTTATTGTATATCTTAAAAAATAGCGAATTAAATATTACATAACCGCATATATGTTTTTTTACCTCGCCCAGTTAAATCCATTACGGCCGCCATCTAGAATGATGTAGAAATTATGGGATGTCCAGGGAACACACATTGTAATTGACAGATGTAAGGAAAAATACTTTCTTTGATAATGTTGTGTTCAAGATCTTAGTTTTATAGCATGTAAATGTTTTTTTGATATTTTTCGCATCTTATGATATTCATACTTTATAAATCTCTTGCTGTGTGCCCCCTAGGCATCCCATAGTTTCTTAATGAATGGGTGATACAGAATTGAAGATGATAGCCATATTAGGATAGTATGGCGCAGTAAGGATCCTCCCTGAGACTTTAAACAAATATTGCTATTGACGTCGACAATTCATCCAATCTGTCCATTTTGTTTCACATTTTATTTGAAGTGCTTCTATTGAAGCAGATGGTAAGAGAGATTTTGAATGATTACCTTTTTTTAATGATTTTAAGTTTTAATTTTCAATATGAACTGAAGATTTTCCCCTTATTAGCATATTTCATGTTGTCGAACAAAGTGTTTTAATGGAAATAATTATTGAAGATTGATTTCTGGATTTAATATTAGAATGGAACGATATGAATTTGGGTAATCTACCTTTTTACAGCATGTTTGAATTATTGAAAACTTGATACTAACAGGGTTTACATGGTGGTTCAAGAGGACTGATTGGAACTTAAGCCGGTGTGTGCAGACTATTAACCTCGGAAATGGCTGTAATTATCTGCCAGAAACCATGTAAATTGACTATCTTATACAAAATATGTTATCTAATGAAATATATACTAAAATTAATGACCACAAATCAATATTGATGCAGTTTAAGAGAAAAAAAGACGTGTAAATAGCTTTTACTAAGATTAATAGTCAATTTCTCAGGTTTGATGACGYAATTTGTACGATACATTATAGTATAGAAATTAAAAGTGTTAAGCTCTATTTAGTGCCGAATGTAATCTTAGGCTTTGTATCTTTTACTAGTGTTAATTTATTTGTCCTTTAATACCTCGTTAACATTCTGTTAAGCTTCGGTAATATTTTTTTTTCTCATCAGGTAATTTAATATYGCGCTTGTTTTGTATAGATACTCGCATATCCACGACGTAATTTTATGTTTTTCTATATTCCAAAGTAATCAGTATATTTCACTAATGTACTAGGCWTGTGTGACTGTTTACCATATTACCCTGTAGGGATGATARGAYCCCACGAAGKACACAAACATTTCTACTCTTGACCAACGTCGTCTTGGAAACGTTTTCCTTATTTGGAATTGGATTATCCTCGGTGAAATCACTTCATTCAAATAGCGTTAATACCATTTTCAACACACAAACGCTTTTCAATCTTCYAAAGCAATATTCACAATACTTACTTATTAACGTATTATCATMGTAAAATCATATCTTCATCCTGCGTTGAGTGACAGAGAAATTCCTAAAAGACAAAAGTAAGTATGCCTATGTTTAGTCAGTGGGTCTATCAAACTATGAGTCCAAACTATACCGACGTTGCATTCAATTCAAATCTAGAATTCACAAAGCTATAAAGGAAAGCGGCGAGATTTACTTTTGACATTAGCTAAAAAAAGCCTCTAACACGGTATGTATATCTAAATTGAAAAATGGAAATGGAACACGGTCGTAAATGAGAATGAAATGTTTGCACTGTAGACGGGACGGTTATAATTATTAATTCCAGGAAACAGTCTGACTATGAAACATGAACAGGATTTTTGAACATTGATCCTTATTCTACAATTTGTAGGCAAAGAAAAGGTGTGTCGCATATATGCTAAGGTTGCCTAGTATCTCACTGTCGTTATGCTTTTAATGAACTTCAACATTACGCTCTTACTTGACGATACATAGACTGATTATTGCAAAACAACCCTTCTGGTAAAATGAAAGACCTTTATGATGGTAAATATGCCAGCTGGACGCAGATACAATTGTAGTTCTTTTTAAAAATTAAAAATTTCTCTAGTTCTTGTGTTGCTAATTCTGCTCGTTTTTGTGCAATAAGTTTTTTTATGGTATCAAATCTTAGCTAGGGTTTTTATCATGTTTTTACAAAACTGATTGTACGGCCAAATAACAACACGATTATTAGCTTGTTCCTTCATAATGTTCTCAGTATTGCGCAATAGCTCTRGGCTTTTGATAAAAAACAAATTCCAACTTTGACACTTTTTAAAGCTACCATGAGAACTGCGTAGGGTCTAGCGATAGGTAATTAGTGATCGTGGCTCGTGTTGACAAAATCTGCTGCTGAAGGTAAACTGTGTAATATTGCTAAATCTTACATTCACTTAATATATCGAACTAGTACAACAACAACAATCGGGAATTTAGCTTAACACACCCGCAAATTGTTCTTTTCGGTTATGATTGTTTATCACAATTTGTACGCTTGGCGTCCCTAGTTATTTCCTGGCCTTTCCTGGCACACTAAACGATCTGGACAAACGTCGTAAATTATCAAGTAAGCATCATATTTGTAGTTTTAATGAAGTATAAGTTTTTTCAAGGGAAAAAAGGTTTATATCTCATGAATATTTCTTCTTAAATAATGCAAATAATAGGATTATCGCTTAGTTTCAATCTATGTATGACATTTAAGAATATATTTCTTTTATGACTTTGGCCACCTTACTCCCTGTTTATGTAAATTTAATCGTATATATTCTGACGCATAAAACAGTTTTTAAAAATAGGATTAGTTTTACTAGCCCGAGGGTTAACTGCTGTGAGATGCTTGATACAAGTACCAGCATTAAAGAGAGTAAGTGTCTAACCTGGTGTTGTAAGGAGCACCTCTTGTATCGCTACAGATTATCTATAGATTATGTGCATCTCAAGTCAATCCCAACCCAAAAAGAACTCATTTTACATAAGTAAAAAAATCTAAATAGTGTTCTGAACAATTTCATGCTCCAGTTTTGAAATCTGGTTTCCATTTACGAAGAACTACTCTAATCTAATTCCTTGGCGTCACTTCATTTGCATTTTCAATTTTCAGATACYTAAAACTCCTCAGAAAAATGAAATTGAAAATCTTTTTTTTTATAAGTACTTAACAGTTCTCTTTCCGAAATTACTTTTCTTAAAAGTGTATTTTGCCTTCGCCGCAAAGAAAACTGTTTTAGTAGTTTCCTGTTTTTCTCATTCAATTCTGATGCAGGTCGCCTATTTCTTTGACGACATATCTTTTAGTCGCAACTATGACCTTGTATCTCAAAGAGATACCGTTGGTTGGTGGCATTTAAGTAGTTTAGGCAATTTGACGATAATTCAAAGAGACCAACGTAAATGCGCTTTGCTAATTTGATGCGGCGCATCGTTCTTTTTGTGTTTTCGGAAAGACCGTGCGTTGTCAAATAACAGCGGTGATTTCTTTGATCTTTGACTGGAAAGCAAACAGTTTGTAGAAACGTTTGTATTCGAATAAATAGAAGATTTTTTATTTCTTTATTTTTTTTAATTAAATATTTTAATCTAATACATTGAGCAATATGTACGTCATTAATGTAACATTAATTCAACACGCACAACTAGAACTTTCCTGAAACCTCAAGACTAGCACTAATTTATATGAAGAATTTTGTTCTGGTAGTTGATGTTTTGGCTGGTGTGTTTTCCATAGTGTCTAATTCCCCTATAGGAGAATACAATGACACGTTGCCTCGCTTGATGGAACTCTTTTTGCGGTTCTCACTTTAATGGTCTCCCTGTCTCTTGACTATATCAACAGCATTTGAAATTAATGCACACAGTGTGCGGCCGTTGAAGTTGTGGTCAGAAGCTGTTTTAACCTCATTATGACAGTTCCCTATACAGAAACCCCTATGTACAAAGGACACTCACTGACAGTGCTTTTAGGGACAGACCACTAGATTAACTGTTAAGGGAAGGAGGAAGGGTTTGGTGTATGCATGAAGAGTTTTTTGGCAGATTTCTTTTCGGTGGCTGTTTGACTACAAGAGGTTCATTCCAGATATTTGCAATGTATTTTATTAGCTCATGAATTTATGTAATTAGTCGAGTTTGTGTTTTAGTAAAACTTTAATGACGACTAAGTATCGGTTAACGTTTCCAGAATTAGATTAAAGAAGAGCAAAGGAAATCCTTTTTGTCTTATTAAGTGTACAATTTTGTAAAGAAACAGATGTCATTGCTAAAACGTTTTGTTCCTGCACGCAAAAACTAAGATGAGTTCAAAAGAAATGCTGCTATTCCGTGAGACATGCAATTTTCACAGCATGCTAAACGAATATTAAGCAAATTAAACATAAAATATAGATACGATTTTAAGCTCTATAACTAATCGACGCAATTTCTTGCTCTCTCTTCTTCTTATATAAATTCACTTCCACGGTTCAATGTTGTCTGAATTACAATATTTTAGATATCATTCCTTTCCAACATAGAAAATAGTTGAAGGGGATTTATTGGAATAATTGACTCTTCTTTGCCTGTCGCTTCGCTAATGGTTCGTGCCAATAACTGATCATATTTGGAGATCGGTTACAGAGAAAAACAATTACTAACTTAATGTAGTAAGAGCAATCTTCCAAAGTTCGCTAAAAGCGTTAATTATCTTCCCTTGGCCTCTAATATATTAATCCAACCATCTCAAAGATGTAAAATAGACGTAAAGCGCTTTTATTTCACGTATTTTTATTTCATTTTATTCTATTTTTTGATATTACTAAGTATTTGGTTTTTCATGTTGACTTGTTGCATGAAGCAAAATCTCTAAACTCACTCCTCTATCGTCCTTGATCTTGATGTCATAATTGAAATACTTGATATTATCTTGAAGATAAATGGGAACTGTGCACTTCATTTTGACACTTTAGCATTCTTAATAACAGATGTTGTAATCTTGTTTGTAAAAGAAAACAACGTATACCAATATTGAAATAATATCAATTAAGTTTACTAAGACCTGACACTGAGGTTTCAATCTTTTCTTTGTGWTCTTGGC